TGTCTTCATGGTAAACAAGACACCTAACTTGGCTATGAAACTTCCCTGAAGTCGGTATTTTACACTTAGAGGATGGTAAAGAGCAGTGGCAGAGATCTGGCAGGATATGCTTGTGGATTGCTTAGCAGCCAAGTAAGGAAGACAAGAGCAAGATGCAGATTAACTTGGTTTGCATATATATCTATATATATATAATATATACAATATATACACACACACATGCAGCATTTAAAGAATTAGAGATTCTTGTGCTATAAGTGCTTAGAACACTGATGAATTGTGTCAGTTTGAAAATTTAAAACAAAACTTTGCAATTAGTTCTCCCAGACATTATCACTCCACATTCATTCTGACACTTTATCCGTCATTATCGCTGCATATGCAAAGCAGTCAGTCCTTAGCACTTCACCCTAAATTAGCTGTGAGTGGGCACCACTACAGAGCTGCTGCCTTATTGTTAGAACATGACCGAGGTCACTGGTATTCATCAAAGTTGTCAAACTCAAGAGTTCTTCACTAAGGAGACCTGAAGTTGATAGTTCCTTTCTCTTTCCCTGCCCTTGATGAACTATTTTGTTGTTGCTTTTAATCTTCCTGAAGTGATTCTTCCTTTTAAGAAAGGAAGCCTTTCTCCAGCTCTCAAGGCTTCACTTTCTCAGTGACCAAAGGCAACAGTGTGGCCCGCAGGACCAGATTGTCCCACTGTGCCAGGCACTGCTGAGGCCTCACCTCAAATTCTGTGTTCAGATTTGGGTTCTTCACGACAGGACATTCAGGTGCTGGGGTGGGTCTGAGGAAAAGCAACAGAGCTGGGGAAGGAGCTTCCTGCAAAGGAGGTTGTGGCCAAGGGAGGTTGGTCTTTTCTCCCAGGTAACAACAGGACAAGAGGAAATATCCTCAAGTTGTGCCAGGGGAGGTTTAGAATGGATATCAGGAAAAAATTTCCCTATGGAAAGGATTGTCAAGCATTGGAACAGGCTGCCCAGGGGAGTGATTGAGTCAACAGCCCTGGAGGTATTTAGAAGATGTGTAGATGTGGCACTGAGGGACATGGTTTAGTGGTGGACTTGGCAGTGCTGGGTTAATGGTTGGACTCGATGATCTTTTCTAACCTAAACAATTGCGTGATTTATTTCAACACCTTCACCCAAAGGCAACAGGTTAAATTCTTTCCATCTTCCAACGGTGGGAAGGTGTTGGTAGATAATCACAGAGACATAGAGTCATAGAATGATTTGGGTTGGAAGGGACCTTAAAGACCATCTCAGTCCAACCTCCCTTCCACTAGACCAGGTTGTTGAGAGCCTCATCCAGCCTGGCCTTGAACACTTTCAGGGACGGGGGATTCTCTGGGCTGGTTTCACTCATCTACTTTGAGTCCTTGTTTATGTGCTGTTTACCAGGACAGTCATCCCCTCCTGTAACTGTTTTCCACTGTTTTTTTGCAGTTGTGCCTGCTGTGCTGTACTGATCTGTTAGAGTTTAGAGTTTGACATAAGAACTGTAGACCTTCAAGTTGCTCTCTTGAATTCTGTTGATGAGCAGTTTCAGGTACAGTATTTGCTTCCTTTATTTCTTTTTGGAAACTCCTTTTCTCCTTGGGTGGTTTTTTTGGTTTTGTTTCCTTATAACAAGGCCAGTACAACAGAAAACAAAATTCTGATACTACTTAGAATTGTAATAATCAGCGTATGTACACATCCCCAATAGGTGGTGCTGCATCTTTTTCATAGTGTCTAATTGCTGTATTGTTGGCCCTGATCACCTGGAAAAGTTGTCTTTTTGAGTAAACTGAAGTTTGTAATCTAATAGTAATAAATGCTTCTTTTAAAAAATAAATATTGTAATTCTTTTAACAAATGTGGTTTTGTAGCTTAGTAGTTGGAACAGTTATCTTACTGTAGAAAGACAAAAATCGGGTGTTGGTCCCTCTACTGTGGATTGATTGTGATTAAATCATTAATTGTTGAAATAACAAACAGTCCCTGATTAGGGGACCAGACCCTCAAAGTCTTTGTAACCATGTGAATACATTAGATCACAGAGCCATGGTCTTCACTTTTGTTCTGATTTTAAATTCTTATGCAAAGCAGAACACAGAGTACACAACAGGTCTAATGCACACACTCCAGGTAACATCTTAAAAGTTTTAAGATGGAAAATATAAGCTTAAATCCCCTCCAAGTCAAGAACAAAATTTCCATCCTTCTGCTCTGAACAAAAATTTTTGCCACTGTATTATTGTAAGCAATGACTGCAAGACATTTAAAAACTCTGGGGCTTTTAAAGTAATTAGTTTTAAAAGGGAAGAGTTGGTACTTATGGCAATCAATAAGAGCCTGTTTGTATATAAAATATTTCCCCCAGATTGCTGCTGCTATAAATGAGTTTTAAAAGCTGCTCCTAAATACCATCTTTGCTTCCAGAATGATTAGAACATTCTCTTTTCTTTTTTTTTTTTCCCAAAAATAGTGATTTCTTCCATGAGAGATATCACAGAAGATATTCTGTGAGAGTTCTGGGAAATGTCATCTTGGAATCCAGCAGTTAGGACAGGTATTGTGTCCAACAGCCACTCTATTTTTCCTTTAGAGAAACCTAATTTTAAGTGTTTAAGCAGCTGTTCTTATACTACCATATAATCGTTAATACAGCATATAAAGAACATGTTATAAAAGAACGCTGTTACAGAGCTTTCAGACCAAACCTTTTCAAGAACTGAGGCCTTTTTTGGGTGAAATTTCCTGGTAAGACATAATTAGGTTTTACTGTGCTCCAAAACATCAGTTGTCAGTGCCAGAAAGCATTAGAAATAAAGCAAGTGACATGGCCCAAAACGAGTGTGTGAACAGAGGTAGAAGAGAGCTGTAATTCTCTTCCATCAGATGCACAGAAATTAAAATAGTACCATGAAAACATGCCTACAGGAACAGCAGCACTTCTACATGAGAAAATAGTGCTTAAATAAAAGCATTTAACTAATTTATTATTTAACTGTGCAGCCCTGCAGTTCTGTACAAACCGCGATAAGCCCTTTTGCTTATGAAGTGCTAAATCCACAGGAATCAGCTCTAAATCAACACAATTATATTGCACTCTAGGATGTTCAAGGTATTAATTGCTATTTTCAGGATCTCTGTTTTCCAGGGAACTTCTGAAATCAATTTCAGAGCATCCCGTGGAGCTGGAGAGAAGTGTGGGATATGTGTTCACTGTTTTGTAAAACCTCCCCTTGTATCTCACCTGTCTTCTGTTGCTTGTTGGCAACATTCAAACTGCAGCATTTTCAAACTGCTACCAGAGTACCATAATGTACTTTTAGCCTCACTGTTGGTCAGTGCTGCTCATCAGGGTGACCAAATTAGTCAATTGGACATTTCTAGAAACCTGTCAGTGTATCTTTATGCTCTTTTTTTTCTTAAATGCAGGTCTAACAGGCATAATAGTCTGTGTAATCATCAGTGAAGTTATATTCCTGATTGGATTGAAGAGATTGATTTAAATAGAGTATCAAAAAAATTAGATGTCGATACAGGGACTGCATGGTTTCTTCCTGTCACCTCAGCAGAAAAGCCAAATTTGCCTCAGATAACTCTCTTCTGGCTCTTGGTTTTGGGTTGTTGTGAAAAAATGTTACCCAGCTCCTCATAGAGAGGAAGACAGCAACCCCCTTGTCAGCTCCCTTGTTTATCTTTTTGCTAGAGCTGCCTGGTTTTACTTGAAAACTAAAGTTGACCCATAATTTTGTCCTTTATTTGTTTATAGTTATGGGTAAATCTTGACTTTCCAGCAACTTGAGAAGCTTGGAATGGAGACAAATCTGAAATCACTGCAGTGGAAACTCTAGTGGTGACAATGGTTTCAGGAGCAGTTCACTTGAAGTGAAAGCTGAGCTGTTAATAGCAGCCCTTGAATATCTACAAGTATGACCCAAAAGGGTAAACACTTCGGAGCACTGAGATGCTTCGTTATCACTTCAAATATGAACTGATGAAGGAGGATATTAATTGGTTTGACAAACCATAGAAGCCATATGTTTGCCTTGTCCTTTGGCAGATAATATTTAGTGAAGGAATTCGGTTGAATTTGAAGGGGCTTGACTGATCTGGAATGAAAACTGCATGAATTTATTAAAGGCTTCCACATCGACATGGAGGAGGTGATTGAAAGGATGGACTGTGCTGCTGTACTGTTAACTCCGTAGGTAACTCCTTCTGGTGGAAGTGAGCATCAGTAAATCGCTCTTTGACTCCTTGGAAGGTTTAAGATTTTTTGTTTTCCTCCTTTCTTCTGCTGAAAGGAAGAGGTACCAATTAGATGATTTCAAAGCATGACAGTTCCTGCAGGAATCATCATCGCCGATACAGCTGGGTTTCATAGATACAACCAAAAGTGGATGTGGTATGGAGGTGCAAGATCCATGAGGGGACCTGAGGTTTTCACAGCTGCAGGAGGAATTAAGAGAAATGAAACAATCCAATCCAAATTTCAAGTAAACAGCGCATATGTGTAATATCGGTATCATTCCAGCATCCCTTTTAAACACGTGTAAGGAAGAGAGGTAGTGCAGAAAGCTGGAGGCACACAGTCATTTTCCAAGGTTTCATTGAAAGCAAAGGACAAGAGGACACAGCTGCGCCAGGGAAGGTTTAGGTTGGACATTAGGAAGAAATAATTCAGAGAAAGGGTGATTAAGCACTGGAATGTGCTGCCTAGGGAGGCGTGGAGTCACCGTCCCTGGAGGTGTTTAAGGAAACACTGGACGTGGCACTGAGTGCCGCGGTCTGTTTGACATTGGTGGTGTGCGGTCATAGGTTGGACTCGGTCATCTCAGAGACCTTTTCCACTCTAACTGATCCTGTGATTCTTCTTCTCTTCTTCTTCTCCTGCTCCGCTCCCGCTTCCCGCCCGCCCGGGCCGGAGGGCGGAGCGCCCCTTCCCCGTGACCCCGCAGCTCCTCCCCTCTCCCCTCCCCGCTCCTCAGTGCCGCCGAGTAACCTGGATTCCCGGCCCTCCTCCTCCTCCCTCTTTCTTTTCTTTTTTTTTTTTTTTTTTTTTTTCCTCCTCTCCCCTTTTCTTTTCCTCCCCCCTCCCCTCCCCTTCCTCCTCCTCCTCCCCTTCCCCCGACAGCGTAGCCGGGGCTCGGGCTCGCTCCCTCCCCCGTGCCCTCCCCTGGAGCCGCCGCCGCCGCCTCCGCCGTCGCACACGGAGACATGTACCCGGGAGCCCCCTCCGCCGGACCCGGTGAGGCTGCGCCCGGGTTTCTCTCCCTCCCCCGCTCCCCCCGGAGCGGCTTTCCCGGCCCGTGTCCGCGGGGAGCCCCGGGAGCGCTCAGCCCCCCGGCTCGGGCCTGGCTGGAGCCGCGGCCGGCGGAGGAAGGAGGGTCAGGGCGCCGCCGCCACCTCGGGCAGGGCGGCCGCGTGTCCGGAGGCCCCTCTGAGGGGAGGGTCTCCTGCCCTGCCCCGCTCTGCCCTCCCTCTGCCGAGCCCCGGGTCTGGCGCAGCTCCCGCCGCGGAGCGGGGTCTCCATTTCCTCGCTCCCGGCTCCATCCTGGCATTCCCGGCTCGCCGCGTGTTCGGCCGCGCTGCGATAGTTGGTGTTGGGGAGGTGCGGGGGAAGCGCGTCCACATGTCGGGAGCGGCCGGGAGAGGTGATGGGCTGCCTGAGGTGTCCTCGGGCTCTGCTCTGCGGGGAAATCTGGGAGCAGAAGGAAACGTGGACGTGCAGAGAAGAGTTACCAACTTGCTCAGAGACATTTAATACCGTTTAGGGGAAATAGAGGTTAATGCTGCGCGAGTTTGTGCAGTTCATTATGGGACGGTGTTTTAGGCTGTTTCTGTGGTGACAGTTCTTACGTACAAACTGCAGTTTTTGCGTGACTGGCACCCAGTTTTCTTCTAGAAAAGTTTTAAAATAAATGGAACTGTATTTGATGTTGCTGTTCTCACCAGTTTTGCATAAAATCTCTTCCCTTGGGGTAATCTAGCAAAGAATAGTGTAGTGAAGTACAGGACCTATAACTGAGATGTCTTTTACTGCGCCTCTTACAGATGCGTTCTCTGTAAAAGCATTAAAGCATTCATGTCTTGGGATCCACAGCTAGTTGCTGGCTTCTTTATTTTTTTGGTCTGATTTTATTCTCTGCAAGGGACAAGAATCAAGAAAGACAATCAGGATGATTGTTTTGAAATACAGCGCCTCTGTTTTTACTTTCTCTTCTTTCTGCAGTGCACGAAAACTCTCTCTAGCACAGCAGAGGAACAGGTCTCTGCAGCTCGTGTGTCCAGAGGGACATTCATGATTTTGCTTTCATGTGTACCATCATTTGCACATTTCAGTACCAATAACTGTGCATAATAGTGATGTAATTCTTTGGTGTCTTCTAGTGTGGAGTTCCCTTGCTCAGGGACAGATACACTTCGGATTTACAGGTGTTCATGGTGCTGTTGCTGCTGAGGCTGTTGTGTTCACCTCCTGGTGATACATCTTGTTCCGAATTGTGCTTAAGGAGGCAGATAATTAAAAATATTACCAGCATGTGGGCTGAGAGTAGTTTTATGTGTGGGAGTCTCTTTACCTTCTTTTATTTACTCTCTATCTGATCCTACCACTTTCCCTTTCGCTCAGAATGATCTTAGCTCCAGTTGGTGGTTGCTGTTTACCTTCAGGGACCTGTGTTCAGTGTGAGAGGACGTGTTCCCCTTCCTGGAACAACCCTCTCCTAACCCCGGGCTCTTGGTAGAACAACTTTCCCCAAGCTCAGGGTTGCTGTGAGTTGTTCCCGGTGTGTGTCTGGGGCTCCTGCTGTTCTGCTCCCTCCAACTGAGCTCATCTTGAGCCTTGTTTACTTCCGAGTTTATCTGTGTGGCTCAGCCCTTTCCCCCCGTGCAGAGCTGGGCAGTGGCGGTGTCTGTGCTGGGCTGTGAGTCGGTCTCTACACGGTGAGGCTCTGCTTCCTTCCTGTGAAATCATCCACTGAGAGCCTCAGCAGCACAGTGGCTTCCAGCAGCCCAGACAGCTTCCTGCTGCACTCCAAAATCACCAAGTCTTGGAGTTTTTTAGGAGAGCGTGGCTGTGCTGTGGACCAGCAAACAGGGACTCTCAGAAAGATGCTTCGCTGCCTTCTGCAAGGCTACTGCATGTGGCCTGTGAGCTGCCAGGGAAGTCCCATTCCAAACACACTGAAATCCTGTTCAGGGGAGAGAGCAGAAGTGTGGTTTACAGCCCCTCACCGAGCCGCAGCTGCTATGAGCGCACCAGAGCTCCAGCCTCTACACATCTGTCAGCAGATCCTTGACACTGAGTAAACGCTCCATCCCTGTCTGCCATAACCCGGATCCCGACTCCGGACCTCACTGATCCACACGAGCTACTTTGTTCTTCCAGCTCCCGCTGCCAGCCAGGACCCTGCAGCCAGGCCCATCCCGAGGGTGCCCGTGGTGCTGGACTCCTGCCAGTGTAATCGCTCAATTTGCCACAGGGTTTGCTATTTTAGGCTTAATTCTTTCTCTGGAAACAGTATCAAGAGAGTTGGGAGGCCGTATCTGACTAATTTCAAAAAGTTGCTGCCAAACGTGGAAACTTCATTTAAACGTGCTGTTATATCTGGAGTAAGGTGGTTTTTTGTACACGAGGGGGACATTGTGAAATCACTCTTTCCACGGTTAGGAAACCTGTGATCCCCTTTCCTTTCCCCAACTACTGTCTGAGTTATTGCCTTGGTGTTGAACTTACTGTGATATTGTGCCCATACCTTTTTTTTTTTGCCTTCAAGAAACTGTGAAAAGTAAAAAATCTGAAAATCTGAGAGAGAGTTCTTTGTTTTTTAAAGAAAAGGTTTGATGCTGCTACTTTTTGGTTTGTCTTTTTCTGTAAGGACAGAAAAATGTCAAAAAGGCGTAATAAAAATAGTCTCAGTTAAAAGACTTGATTAAAAGTTGCATAAACTTCTGGAACTTACACTGCTTGGTGTTGATGTACTTATAAATTCTAAACTTTGCACACCATAGATTCCTTTTTTTGAAAGGATTTTTGGGTTTTGCCTGCTACACAAGGTCTTAATTTATTGTTGAAGCGGCGATTGCCTGAAAAAGAGTGACTTCATGGAAGGGATTATGGCTTTGCATGTGAAATAAAACCTTTTTTACCCAGCACAAGAAACAGCTTTATCAAATCAGTGAAATTAAGATTATTTTCTCACTTGTTTAGTTGTAAGTTACCTTTTTAAAACTGTGAATAGACTGTTGAAAATTTTAAGTGTTATTTCAGTGCATGTGCTTGTTTTTACTTCCCATATATTTTCTTGAAGATATTAGGTGTTGGGTGTTGATTCCCTTTAGGAGTCTTTAGTCCCAAAATGTGATGCAGAGAAAGGTGTGCTCATGCCTTAGTTGGGGTGGTAGAATTGGCATCTTCTTCGTCTCCTGGAATTTAACTCCACCAGTGTCCTACTGGCTTGGGTTTCAGCAGCAGCAGGAGCTCCTCTGTACCTCTTGTCAAAGTTCTGCCCTTCTCTTCTTTTTCTCTTCTTTTTGGGGTGGATCTAGATCTGCTCTTACTGTGCTAAATCTGCTGGTATCACAGAGTTGCCCAGTTTCTTTGGTTTCTTTGGCTTAATTTTAGACAGTAAATTAAAGCTGACACTCACTGTTAAGCTGCCACTTGTAGAGGAGGGAGTGAGAACTTCGCGTACTTTCAGCTCTCTTCCCTTTTGTGTGAGAGTTTTTCCTCAAATTGAAGTTGCATTTGACAGAGTTACAGCCTGCAGCATGCAGCATAACTTTTCCAGGCATATTGTTGTCATGAGCAGTATGTTTTCCTAAGGAAGGGAGAGATTCCATGTCACTGTGTCGCCTCAGCCCGCTGCGTAGTCTGCAGGTGGCTAAGGATGAGGTGAAGAGATAATTGGTGGTGTCAGATGTGCAAACCAAACTTTCTCCTTTGCTTGGTGAACTGAAGGATCCTGTTGGCTATTGAAAGGTGAAACATTGTGTTCAGCAGTGGTTCTCTTACCGACTCTGCACTTAAATGGGATTTTGTGAAATTATTTTTCTTGTCTCGGAAGTTTTTCACTTTCTTGGAATCATTGTGTGTGCTTGTAGGTGTGTAGTGGTGTCTTGTAACGTATAGAAAGAGTGAAGAGGAACAGCCAAACCTTCCTGGCTTCCAGGAAAGTTCTTTTTTTTCACAATTTGTACCCCTTCCTTCACTGCTATCACCACCACTCCACCTCTGTTTCACAGAAGGGTGGGAAAGACATACAAATGTTTTAACTGTGCAAGAGAAAATATGGCTTACGTTATCATATGATGCTCTTTTGACCACTTAGTACTGTGTAGGAGGGAAAGATTTCTCCAGTCCAGAAACCAGTCTTTCTGAACACTTCTGGCTTTCCAGAAATGTCAGGGATCGAGCTGATGAAGGCAGTAAACTTCTACCTGCTAAATTGGCTTTGCAAACATAGACAGTTCTAACTAATGAGGAACTTTACATGCTAATGAAAGTTTTGTTCGTGTCAGCTAAGCATGTACTGACAACAGCTTTACAGAACTTGTAAGACTTGTCAAAATTCGGTGGTGTTTTGCCTCCCCTGTTTCGCGTTTAGGCGAAATACTTGGTCATATTTTTAGTGATGGAATTTCTAATACTCAACCTGCCAGAAAATATTACTAAATCTGAAAATGAAGAAAAGTCAACCTCCAGTATCTTATTTTTGGTAAGTTATGAACTAGAAAAAAGTAGCTGGTGGAAAATATGACGTAGTTGTAGCTGTAGTGGCTGTGGGTAGGGATCTGTTCCATGCATTGTCCAGTTAATTTGTTTTAGTATCATGCATCCTTTCTGATGTACTCACAAAGCAGCCCACTAGAATGTAAAGTATCTCCTACCCTCTTGACTGGGAAGTGCAGCACTTTGAACTCAGTGCAAGGCTTTTTTTGTTTCCCCCCCCCCCCCATTTATTGTAATACCTGAATTAGAACTTAAACATTTCATTGTATGTTTTATACTATAAAAATTGGAAAAAGACAAGCCTGAATAGCATCAACCCTAGGTGGACTGAACTTGAGCTGTAATTTGTTGATACACAGTCCCCTTTGGTAGCCATTTCTAAGAATTTGTGCATGAAGAGACTTTTCAGTACTGGCCAGGAAGTGGTTTTTTAAATCCTCGAGGCTGAGGTGGTGTCTGTAGTTTTATAAAACCAGGACTGAATTAATAGGTGGCGTCTTTTTATGTGTTTTGTG